TACGTCATATATTCTTAGTTTATTTGATCGAGCATCATCCTCAAGTATTGTGTTTATCCCTCATTGTGTTTATCCTTTATCCCTCGGGATAGATACATGATTTGAGGTAGATCACTCTTTCATTTAAACTGTGAAGATTATGAAGCCAGTTTGATTTCATATTTTTCTAAACTTAAATTTATATGTAAATTAAAGCGTTCTTCCGAAGCGGGCGACGAGATTTCGATTCTGGTGACCGACAGCTTGTTACGGGCAACTTCCGTTACGGTTAACTTCCCCAATTTTTTAGTGCCGACAATATCTATATTATTTAAGTCTTCAATGACTAAAACCAAGAAAGGTTCACATAAAAAAACATTATTTGCATCAAACTTAGTTCAATTAGTCAATGCACTGCTTCATTGTATCCAGAAATATAACAAAAAACAACGAACCCAAAACTCCGAAGAGTGAGCGCCAACCCATTCTCCCTAGTCCACACTAGATGGGTTTACCAATCCTTCCCAGGTGCAATGCACATACTAGGATCAATCCTAGATTGACAAAGCCAAGGCGCCAGTTATTGTTGAGGCTGGTTTACTCAATAAAGTTGACGAACCAGAGGAAAGGCGGGTAATACTTTGGTATTGCATTAAGCCATACTGAGCTAAGAACTTTATCTTAACTCAAATTTATTTGACTCAACGCATTAACCCACATCAACTGCCGCAACATGCTGACTAAATTAATGAACCTATTTATCGTGATGGAGCCACAGGGGCATACCCCAACTTTCGATAGATCCTTCAACTAGATTTGTGGAATGGAATGATCAAGGCAAAACCAGATCTAACTGCTTTATCCCAGGGATTCCAATGACTGTATTAAAAGAATATAAGCTATTCTTTAGATTAACTTAGCCACTGTATGAACTGCATAACTAACCTCTTGTCGATTAACGGTCCACAAGCTAGGGGAAAGGGAAAACAACAGGAAGGCATTCAATTGACTACATAATTTGGACAGTTGCTCGACGACCTGCCTCAGATTTATAAGTCCACAACGTAGCATCGATAGGACCGAAATTCCATCGACTTCTTCTAGCCCTGCCACCTTAAGTGAATTAGTCCAACCTAACTATAAGCGCGACTTTCTGACTCAGAGGCAGACAATTACTGATTCTAGGGGCGATTACATAGACATAACCACATCCTAGTTTTACTTAGTCAAGGTGTCAACTTAGTGGTGTTGGTTTACTCAATCAAGAAGATTGGCTCTGAAGGAAGGAACCAAAGATATCTCTATTGGTATTCAATAAGTTGGACTGAGAAAATGTTTGTTTAGGAACTTTACCTAAACTCAGAATTATTAACTTAAAGGACTAATTCACATAACCAACCTTGACTGGGCTGGAATTAATCAACCTAGTCGCATCGCGATGGTGCCGCAGGGGGCGTACTCTAACTTCCAATGGATCAAATCTAAACTTGTCGGAGAGTTTGAGTAAGATCAAACTAAGATCGGGGGGATCCTTTTCCGATGTGCGATAAGTATACTAGATGAGAGTAAGACATACCCGCTTTAGATTTACTCACTCAACAGACCGATGGTAATAGGAGCATCAACGAACCTTATAATATTGTGATGGTGATGTATGGGGCGTGCTTTAACTTCCAATGGTCTGAATAAGGTTCAGAATGACAGTACGATGGTTTACACTGAAAGAGGGCTGAACACTATTCCGAATTTATTACTAACCCTTTGGGTTGACAACCAAATCAACCTTGACAGATCTCAAGTCAACCGATCAAATCGTGATGGAGCCACATAGGAGCATACTCCAATTTTGATGGATCAAGAGCAACAACTTTTCGTATGCTATAGATTAAGTGGAAAAGACACTTAGCCTAAAGTCAACCTCCCAAGCCAGCCCCAACTGGTCGGAGATCAATCAACCTGGTCCCGTGATGTTGGTAACATAATGGACCCGAAGAAGCGCAAAAGGTTGTGCAGTATATTATCATAATAAAAGATTCATCTTGATTTTTTTCATTAGTTTGTTTTAATTTTGGTTTCAGTTTGTTGATTTCCATTTTATATGATTTGTTTCATTGATTTTAATTTAATTTTATTGATTTGATAAATTTACTCATTCAAGGACAATCGATTTGATTTTGGTTTCATTTTCTTTTGATTTGATGTGTTGGACATATTGTCTTGTTCAAGCGCAATCAATTTAATTTTAAGCAGATTGTCTCATCCAAGGACAATAGATTTGATTTTTGCTACCCCATAGGATACCGCAGAGGGAATTGGACCTTATTCAAGTAGCATATAAGAAAGTCTGAGGACAACATCCTCAAGACCATAAAAATTTTAATGTCTTATTTTTGAGGGTTTCATTTTCATTTTGATTGTTTTTTTTTTGAAGAAATTAGTAATTTTGTTTGTTTGAGAAGAAGTTTCTTTTTTTTTAAATTTGATTTGATTTGAAAAATTCTTTAGGGATTTTGATTTGGTTTTGTTTGGTTTTGAGAAATTTAAATTTTAATTCATCTGAAGTGTCTCATGAATTTCTAAGTTGTAACAGATATATGACAGCTAAAGGAATTACAAATTGTCTAATAAAAAGTTTTATCTTTATTTCAAGTTTTGGACTCAATGTCCATTTCAAGAGTTTTACTTAATTGATGTTTGAGATTGAGTTCGATTTCGTTTAAGTCTAACGTTAAAATTCAAAAGAGAGTTCAATTTTTCTTTAGAGATTCCATGATTTTTGGATTCCTGCCAAGTCCTGAATTCCTGTTAAGTCCTGAAAGTAGGTTTTATCAAATGGCACGCCATTCTGTTGAGGACCTAAAAAAAAAAAATCAAATATTCGTGATTTTGCTTTATGAACAGACCTAGTGTTAAAAGTACATAACCAATGAGTTGTGTTTTTATTTTTTACTTTGATAAGACAACATCCAAGCATTATTATTTTTGATTTTATGGTTTTGTCTACTTATACTTGATTTTTTATCATTTCAAAATCTTTTTAGACAAACAACAAAAGGATTCATGTCGTGGCCTAGTGTTAAAAGTACATAACCAATGAGTTGTGTTTTTATTTTTACTTTGATAAGACAACATCCAAGCATTATTATTTTTGATTTTATGGTTTAGTCTACTTATACTTGATGTTTTATCATTTCAAAATCTTTTTAGACAAGATTCATGTCGTGGCCTGCTGATATTTGAAAAATCAACATTTTTAAGGCTAAAATGGTATAAATTCCTTTAAGGGATCAACACCTAATATACTTCTCATTCTCCAACATCGATGACCTATCCTTGAATGAGCATTACGTGTTCGATCTCTAAGGCTAAACATTATGGAGTTTTCTTCGTGTCATGATGTATTTTGATTTTAGAGACCGTCAATCCTGATATATAGTCAGAACTGTTATAACAAGTTTTCCAATCAGTTAAAGATAACCCCGACAAGTTTATTGGCTTAATTTTACTTCAAAAGAAAGGTCTAAATTTTTTTCCCTCCTTAAATTGATTGATTTTAGCTCATTTTAAAGTTGACACATTTTTCTTCGGAAAATTTCACGATTTTAGAATCATTCAATTTTTAATTTTGAGATTAAATTCAAAATTCTACGAGAATTGAGCATGATGAGGAATTTCCCTTTTGAAAATTCACTCCAAATATTATATGATAGTAAGGTAATTTTAATTTCAACTTTTGCAAAAAGCTTTGATGATGGAAAAGTTGGAATATGTCAAATAATTTTGATTTAAGCGTTGGACACCCTTAAGACCTAGTGTTTTTTGATATCTATCTTCAAAGATATATGTACTGTTTTCTGGCAGGTGTATTGATCAAGTGAACTACTCTTCTCTTCTCTGTTTTTTTTTTCTTTTTCTTTATTTTTCTCACCTTTCTTTCTTTTTTTTTTTCTTTTCTTCAAATATGGTTCTTACTTTAGACCAACCATCAGTGCAAAGCTTGTTGTCCAGGCTGGAAATATTGTAGATACTCCATTCTTCGCGTTTGATGATACAGTTTTCATAGTTGGTGTTTCGTCATACTTCACAATTTTTCATGATTCTTTCATCCACTCATAGGTTTATAAAATTGTGGAATTGGCAAAGTAGTGTCTGAAGATTATTAGCATTATGTGATGTCAACTTCTCTATTTTTTCATCCATATATATCTTCGAAGAATGCTATCTTAATTTTAAAGTCCCCTCAAGAGAGTTTCAAAAGTTGTTTCTAAATTAAGGTTTATTTCACTCTAGTTCAAGAATGATATGATATGTGGATGTAGATGTTTAATATTGCATGATTTTAAGATATCTTGATTGAACCACATTTACAGAGTGTAAAGTGGGCAAATGGATCAAACTTCGTAAGCAAGTAATATATTGATATCAAGGGAGTTTCAAAAGTTGTTTCTAAATTAAGGTTTATTTCATTCTAGTTCAATAATGATATGATATGTGGATGGAGATGTTTAATATTGAATGATTTTAAGATATCTTGATTGAACCACATTTACAGGATTGTAAAGTGGGCAAATGAAAACTTCATAAGCAAGTAATATATTGATATCAAGGGGATAAGATTCCCAAAATTTTTCTTAAGAAAATGTTCTTGCAGTTTTATGAGCTAGATCATTATGTTTGATTTTAACCATATGTAAAGAAACTTTTCGTAAAGTTTTAGGTTCTTCATATTTATACCTTAACCATTTATGTTGATCGCTTTTTATTTCAGTCATTTAATTTTCTATTCCTTAATATTACTATTGTCAGCATTCAGTCTTTTAATTCTGTATATTTTGCGTATATATATTTTTTTCATTTAATATTTGTTTTGTTCAACATTAATTATTGTTATAGTTGTGCTCTAGCATTGGCGTAATTTTCTATAGTGTATTTTAAGCGGATGTGTTTATTTATTTATTTTTTTAATGCAGCTCAGCAATTAAGTTATAAGTGGAGCTTTTAACATGGCCACATTCATGCAGGGGTGGAAGACATTTTTTGAGGAACCTATAATGTTGATAGCTTTTGTCTTGTTAGGCAAAAATCTTGAACAAAGAGCAAAAATAAAAGCTACTAGTGATATGACTGGACTTTTAAATATTCTCCCTACAAAAGCACGCCTTATTTTTGACAAGGATTCGGGAGATTCACCTTATACTACAGAAGTTCCATGCAGCAGTCTTGCTGTTGGAGATCAAATTCTTGTGTTTCCAGGAGTGAGTTAAATGTACTTTTCATTTTCTTTTGGCGTATAAAATTAGCTTGCTCGTCTTCCCTGCTATTGCAGCACATTAGCTTTTGTATTTTATGTGGTGCAGAATGTATCTTAATACGTTTTAAGAATACTGGGATACTTTGTTTTGCAATGGTCTGAATCGAAGCCAAGCAAGAATTAGTGGTAGATGTACATAGATATTTATTTCTTATATCATTATTGAAATTTTAGTTTTTCTTATATCTATGATATATTAGAATTTTCACTATTGCTGTTTAATGCGTGGGATGTGCTGGGTATAACATAACTCGTAATCATTCTCCCAATTTTATTATACAGGACCGCATACCTGCAGATGGAATTGTTAAAACTGGTAGAAGCACTGTTGATGAATCAAGCCTCACCGGGGAACCTATGCCCGTGACCAAGTTACCAGGGGTACTCCTTTCTGTTTTCCTCTTCGTTCACTATGCATGGTTTTTAGTTAGGGAAATTTACATACATACCACAATTCTTATGTATTTACATATATAACACCCAAGTTTGATATTTATATTGATCACACATTGGTGTCATAAATCTATGCATGAAAATGTGTATTTCACTTTTAAAAAGATAGTAGTTATGGTATTTTTGATGTGATGTTAAAGAATTAAGTCGTTTGAATTTAAATATGACTTTTTAAACGTTAGATATGAAATACATAAGAATTGTGTGGTATGTATGTAAATGCCCGTTTTTATTAATGTTTGGCTCCATCCCAGGAGTTCAACGGAACTGTAATAAACACTAGTTCAAATTCTCATTCTGTAAGTTTTACCATTTTGTTTGAGTTCAGTTAATATCCTTTTACCAGACTGAAGTGACAGCTGGAAGTATCAACATAAATGGTAGACTGACCATTGAAGTTAAAAGACCAGGTGGTGAGACTGCGATGGGAGATATAGTTCGCTTGGTGGAAGAGGCACAGGCAAGGGAAGCTCCTATACAACGGTTAGCTGACAAGGTCCCGCCTTTCTTGTATATAATATTTTGCTTAACGCGTAGAACAACCTCTGATCATACCTTTTTAAAGATTAAATATGTCATACTTTTATTCTCCTGATTCTAATTTTTCCCCATGTATTCTTCAATTAATTTTTACAAAGTGGCATGACGTGGGAGCTCCCCACTTACGTGGGATAGAGCGAGAGATGATTCATGTCACGTGAAAGTTGTAGCAGGATTTTCTCACCGATTTACTGCAGCCATGTTGATGCGGGTGTGTCCCACAGAGCCTCAAAATGGGGTATCACGCAATCTTATTTGCAAAGGGGCATTTTGTGATCCTGTTTGTGCGCTATCCATGATTCGGGCTACAATGCCCCCAGTTGAATCACCTGAAACTCTTATTTTCAGCATATTTTTTTCTTTTAATTATTTGCTATTCCTTTATTTTCTATTTTTTTATTTCTATGTAGGGTTTTACTTGAGGGAATATATATTGATTGCTATTTTTCTTGTTTGGGGGACTTTTGGCTATTGCTATATTATTTGGAGATGTTTTCTCCTAGTTATCTCTATTGGACTTTTGTATCTTTAGATGTCTTTCACGTGGTGTGTCTATAACCTGATAGGATCGTGGTGTGTCTTTCGGATCCCTCCGTCATCTAACTTGGACAAAACTGCTGTTTGCAGCAGGAAACCTGCTGTCTAAGCCGCCCGCACCTCGCTGATTCGTCACTGTTATTAGTCCGGACAGCTGATGAACTAGTCTCACTTGACATCCCACCACATATTTTGCTTCCTATAGCCTTCCCAATGCTGCCACCTAGTGTTACAACCGGAAACCGCCCCTTTTCTGCTTCCAGTTCGTTGTCTCGTTGCCGTTCACACTGGCGTTAAGCCGTCCTCTAAACTCCCCATTTATGTAATCAATTCTACAACTTTTCCAACACTGTTTGCGCTTTATTACACCGTCTAGGAACTCTAAAACGGTATCATTTGATATCTGAGCTAGCCGAGTATTTGGTTGGAAGAACGAGATGCATTGCCACCACCCACAAAGTGGTGCTCAGGAAATTATCATGGTAGACATGCAAAGGGAAATCATCAAATTACAGTCGAGTCTCGTTGATTTTGAATGAAGGCTGAATGGGGAAGTCACCCCCATCAACAGTGAACACCTAGGTGAAGAAGATTGAGATACCTCTTTCCACCGAGAAGTTTTCAGGGATGAAGAATCACAACTCGATGATTCAACATGGAATATTAGAGGAGATGCCATGATCTTGGAGTAAAGGCAAATTTATAAGATTTTGACGGCCGGATGGATCCAAATAAGTTTTTTGAGTGGCTTCAGACAGTGGAGTAAATTTTTTAGTACAAGGATGTTCCTCGGGATAAGAGAGTTAAATTGACAACCATCAAACTCAGGAAAAATGATTCATTATAGTGGGCGAATCTGAAGTGTATTCAACAACGAAAATGAGTAAACTCATGACGTGGTCCAAGATGGAATGGGAGATGCAATATAAATAACTTCCCACACATTATCCACCTGTCATGTTCAAAAAGCTTCATAAACTGTGCTAGAGAGACACTTCTACGGAGGATTACATAGCTGATTTTGACAAACTTATGCTGAAATGCAAGTGGAGCCAGTGGAGCACATGGTAGCGAGGTATCATGGAGGATTGAGGTTGACTATTACGAATATGATACAACTGCAACCTTATTGGTCACTACTGTAAGATTAGGCAACAAGAGTACGTCCAGTGGAACATCCCGACCATCCCCGTTCGAGGAAAAATTAGTTCAGAGTGGAGAAAAAGTGGAGACTTCCAGCACTCCCAAATCCATCTTAGCCAGACAGTGCTTCAAGTGCCTCAGGTTTGAGAATATTACATCAGATTGCCCAAACAAGAGAATGATATCTTTCATCGAGCAAGGTGCCATGAAGGAAGCAGAGAATGAAGACCCTGAGGAGGAGATTGGAGGGGAGTATCAGCTCGTAGGTGACGAGGGAGAGATGCTAGTTTCAAGTTGAGCCCATGAGTGAGACTCCAACATGAGTATCAATTGTTGTCCTAGAAGGTGGTGACCAAAGAAATGGACATTTATATTGAATTTGAGGATTTGGTACCGCGAGTTACTTTTTTGCAGACGTTACAAGGAGCATTAATAAGACAATCATTAGTTTTCCAATAAGGCCACGAATTTGAAGAGCCAAAACAAAGACAAAGGGCAACCCTAGACAAGTGGATTTTAGGATTGTCTGACCTAAATTTATCTCCTAAGTTGTCGTTGCTGAGAGAGATCCGACATTTCATCACCGCGGATGAGTAGAAGAAGTTTTTGAGCATTTCGAGATTAGTCAATGGTATAAGCTGAGCACTAAGTTCCAGTTCAGTTCAGTAACACATTCCTAGGCAGTTGGCCAGAAAGTAGTGGTGAACTGTTACTTGGAAGAGCTCTGGAAGTGCTTTGGGGAAAATAATATTTGAAAGTGGGATCTAGGTCCTTCTAGCGAAGAAGAAGCCTATCCTTGCCAGGGAGAATGATACAGGAGCTTCCTGCAGAGCCGCAAAAAAGGGCATCCTGCTATCTTATTTGCGTGCCGTCCGCAATTCGAGCAATAGTGCCACGTGTCGAATCACCCCGAAACTCCTATTTTCAGCATATTTCTTTCTTGTTTTGATTTATTTCCTATTCTTTTATTTTTTATTTTCCTTATTTCTAAATAGGGTTTTACATGAGGGAATATTTTTATGTTTTTTTTTTTGGTTTGGAGGACTTTGGTTTGGAGGACTTTTGGCTATTATTTTGGCTATTATTTTGTTATTGGGAGATGTTTTCTCCTGTTTTTCTTTATTTGAGTGTTGTATCTTTAGATTTCTTTCAAGCGATGTGTTTGTAATCTGATAAGATCGAGGTGGTCAAATCTCCCGGATGTTCGGAGACCTCCTTCATCGTCCAACTTGTAGAAAATACTGTTCACAGCTGGAAACCCGCTGTTTCCTGTTCCAACTTGCTGTCCAGCCATCCGCACTTCGCTGATTCGTTGTTTGGCAGCTGTTTTCAGTCCGGACAGCTGTCAAACACGCCTCACCTGCCGGTACTGCATATTTCACTTCTTACAGCCTCCCCAACGATGCAACCTGCTGTTACAGCCGGAAGCTGCCCCTTTTCTGCATTTGGTTTGCTGTTCACTTGCCGTTCACACCAGTCATTCAACCTCCCCGCTCACCTAATCAATCCTACAACTTTTTAAATACCTTTTGTGTTTTATCACATCGTTTAGGAACCCTAGAACGGTATCACATGCCTTGTGGGCTCCATTTTTATTTTATTTGAATAAGAATTAAGGTTATTTTTGCTTGAGAACTATTTATAAGGTTGTTATTTTGTGGTTTTGGGACTTCTGCTTTGGTTTGTGTTATTTGGAGATTATTGTTCTTTAGTATTCTCCTATTTGGAGTGTTTTAACCTCCTCTTTCAGGTGATGCTACTACAATGTGATTGTATCGATGTAGTGTTCTCTCCTAGGTCTTTGCAACCTCCGACGCCGCCGGCTCCACAATCTACGAGCAATTTTCCTCCTGCCAAGCTGCTGTCCAGCAGTCTATTGTGCCGGATTTCAACTGCCATCACTTCTCCCTTCTCCGTTGTCTATCCTTTTAATATCTTAACCCATCACTTGATCTTTCCGCACCATTTAGGAACTCTAGATCGGTGTCATTTGGTATCAGAGCCCGACAAACTTTAGATCTCTAGGAATTTGTTTTTTTACCTCACTCTTAAACCATAAATTCACATCATCGCGACCCGACCCCAAAATTTAGAATTTTCACGGCTAGAACAGTTGATCGGATTATATACACAATACTAACATATACATGACAACACACAATCACATCCAACCATTAAAGAACCACTAAATCACTAAATATGTAAAATATAGACCAAATCAAAGACATGAGAACAACCAATGTGTAACAATACTGGTATAGTAAAGAAACTAAATATAAAAACAATATTGTTTGCTACTTATGTTCATTTGATCCCATTTTTCTATAAACATATTGTCTCCTATCAGCCAATTTAATTCAATCGAGCTTTTCCTGAAAGAAACATTTAAACAACCAAATAACTTTAATAGCAATTTTTTGAATAATTATGGTTCTACATTGTAAAATTTAGTGTGCAGTGTACAGTGATCATCATTGATGTTCAATTTTTATAAGTCTTTCATATGCTTACATTTATACTTTTTTTCCTCAAAGATTTTTATAATTTTTGCATTTACATTGTATTTAGAAGTTATCATAGGAACATCGTAAAAAAATTTTACCAACAGTGTAACATTTTCTATTTCCTTGTTTAATTTTTTTTTTTTGTTTGCACAGATACAATAACTCCCCCAGATTTTCTATTTCCTTTTTCATTTCCTTTTTTTATTTTCATTTTTGTGCACAGATAAAATAAAGCCCCCAGCTAGAACTATAAAAAGATAGTAGATTTGATAACTTTTCTATTTCTTTTATTTAATGATCATCACATTTCTTTCAATCCTTTAATGCATATTACAAACATTTTAAAGATAAAACATTTTTAAAATGAGTTATAAAATTTGTGTAACTTTGAAATGAATATTTAATCAATTTCTATCAATTATTTTCATGATCTAAACCTTTTAAACATGATCTTAATTGATATTATTTCAATTAATTAGTGCAAATAAGGCTTCTTATTACTGAGCCATAAGACTTGTTATCATGTTCCAATGACAAATGAGACTGAATTAATAGAGCACATTTTTCTGGCGTGATTTTATTTTATTATTTTTCAATGTTATAATGATGGCAATATAATTGTTTTCTGTCGTAGGGTACGGGGTTTCACTGCCCTCTACAATGTTTATGGCTATTCGATTTCAGTCGAAAAAGAGTGCATTACTTGGATGTGATTCCCCTTTCATATTGGTAAAATCTACTATTTTGGCCCCTATGGCTGCGGGATTAGCATTTTAGTTTGACTCGAGTGTAGATTCAACTCTCCATCTTTCTACAAAGGAAAGTTGAGCTTGACATGATTACAATTGCTTTGGAAAATTTCTTTCCAAATCTGTTGGCTGATTTTTTAGTTTATTTAGCTTCTCTATGCGGTGATGATATGCTATTACAGCTTGCAATTTTTTTTTTTAATGTTGACTTGATTCCCTTCTATTAGATGAAAATTATTTGTATGCGTTTTGATAGGTTGCTGGACATTTTACATATGGAGTGATGGCTTTTTCTGCTGCGACGTTCATGTTTTGGGGTTTCTTTGGTTCTCAATTAATGCCAGCTGCTATCCAACGGACTCCAATTTCTTTGGCGTTACAGCTTTCATGTAGTGTTCTGGTATTTCTCCTGCATGCTTGCTGCTCAAATCCTACTAGATCTATTTTCTTATTGTTTTGAGTATTATTTTTCTGCTGGCAAGCTTCAGTTTTCTTAGTGAATAAACTGCAAGCTATTGTATATAGTTCGAATATCTTCATTTTTATAATACTGAAGTTGTATCTTGACTTCAAAACAGTCATTATAACATTGTACGTTTTGGATTCTCTTCTAATAAGTCGAATACCTGATGTAACAGAAAACTACAAATTAATTTTTAGAATGCAGCTTTGCAATTTTCTCATCAAAAGTACTATACATGTGGAAAAGAGGAACTTAATAGTCTTATTTATATGGATTTGAAAAGACCCTTTATTCTGTCCATTCACATACATGTTGTCATATTTTTTATTTATGACCATTTTTTTATCATTAAATTAAGAAAATGTTAACCAATATTATTCCAACCAGGTTTATTTCACCATTATGTGTAGGTAATTGCATGCCCATGCGCACTTGGACTAGCTACACCTACGGCTGTCTTGGTAGTATTCAGAGATCTTCTTTAGTCAACTGGTAATGAATTTCTCTTTTAAATTAGGCATTCATGCAATGTTTACCTATAAATTTCATGCTAGGTTGGGACTTCACTTGGAGCAACCAGAGGTTTACTTTTACGCGGTGGAAATGTCCTAGAGAAGTTTGCAGAAGCTGACACTGTTGTATTTGACAAGACTGGGACACTGACTATCGGAAGACCAATTGTGACCAAAGTTTTAGTTTCTTATGAAGGGAAGAGTACATATGCAAGGTATGTAATGATTTTATTTCTTCTTTCTAGTCTATTGAACATGTAGTTGATCTGATGCGGGAGAGGTTCCGCGGTCTCCACTTAGGTGGGATCAGGATGGAATCCTGTCCCGTGGAGTTCTGTAGCTCTGTAGGGGGACCTTTCCTCCTGTTGGCTGCTGCCAGGCCTTATGGACCTCTTTTTTATAATATTTGAAATAGAATTAGGGTTAATTTGCTTGGGTACCATTTATACGTTGTTAATATCTATTTTTAGGATTCTTAATTTTGGTTTATGCGTTTAGAGAATGTTTTATCTGATTTTTCTGTCTTAAAGAGTATTGTATCATTTTTCTTTTGTAATTGCTGCATCTGTAACATGTTTAGGAGTAGGTGGTGGATCTTTCTCGGTCGTGTGCCTTGCTGAATCTGTTATGTCACAGTTTTCAGTCAGGACAACTGCCGAGCTTTTCTAATTTCCTTACAAACTCTTCTGGCCTCACATATTCTTTTTCTCTTGCGCACAAACTCTTTCTGCCAAATCTATTCCTCAAATATCTTCTAAGAATTTTGGAACGGTGTTGTTTGGTTTTGGAGCCTTTTAAACTTGGGCTTTTTTTCAAAACCCAAACCTTAACCTGCTACCTTCATCAACAACCATTTTTTTTATCCTTCACTTAACCCTAAGCTTTGAGCTAACCCTAGATATAAAATCTCACCTTCATCACAAACCTAATGTGAGGAGATCTGTCATTCCTCTAAGCAGAAATATTCAAAGAGGTGTTCAAGACTATACCATAGAAGAGATGCAAAGTAAAATCCTCCAATTGCAATGAAGGCTCGTGGATTTTGAAAGGTGGCAATACCAGAACATTACTCACAACAACAACGGTGATCACCCAGATAGAGAAGATGATGAAAATCTTTTTTTCCAAAAAAGCCTCAAGCGATAAAGAGTTGATATTGTAGTAAAGTTGGTTTACTGGATTTCAACGGTTTTATGGATTCAAATGAATATGTTGAGTGAATCCAATCATTAGAATGAGTTTTTGAGTATTAAGACATTCCACCTGACAAAAGGGTAGATGACGCTCTATCGCAATATTTATTTTGCAGTATCGCGATCGCAGGATTCCACAATTGCGGGATTGAACCGAGGTGGAATATCACCCTAAGTGATACCATAGTTAAGCCCGAACCACAATTGAAATATAAATATTATCCTTGAATTCAAATAGGTTACAACGATGACTCTTCAATATGAAATAAATGACAACAAACATAAAATGACATAAGAAAACACTTCTAAAGTGTATCACGTGATGGTGGAGGTTGGTTAGGTGGATCAGGATGATTTGCTGGGGTGGTGGCCGCGAGGGGGAAGTGCAAAAATGTAGAGACAACAAGTATGGAGGTTGTTCTAGGTGATAACAACGAGGAATGAGCGTGAACTACGATGGGACTGCAGGATCTAGGTGTTCCCTAGCTGTGTCCTGGGCGGCAGCAGTGGAGTGGGAAGGATGGGACAGCAGAAAGGAGGTGCGGTTTGGGTGGCAGCAATGCTGGAAGGGAGAGGAAGGTGGCTAGTAGGCGGAGAACTGCAGAAAACAACAAACTGGGCTATGTTTTGGGCGACTGCAACGAGGTACGACGACAGTGAGCGATGTGGGAGGATGTAAAAGGGAGTGCGAAGAAGATAATCCCTACCTCTGGAGAGAGATACAACCGAAGCACCACTCAGTCCCTCAGATACATGCCTCGAAGGGGAAACGGACGCTGGGGACTGTCCTGACAGAAATTTGAAAGAAAGACAAATAATCTGAACCCTAAGAAAACAAACCACATATATATAATGAGAAATAGTAGATAGAATGAAAGATAAATACAAATAGGAAGGTGATGAAAAATGAATGAGGTAAACAAGGAAAGTGATAGAAAGGGAAGCGGCTAGACAAGGAAGGAATCAATTAGGCAAGGGGGTAGAGTTGGAGCGCAGTATTGTAGCTACTTTAGTACCGTGACTTTGTAAACTCCCACATCAATCTCTCGGGATTGGGAGGAGCTTCGACTTCATTTGTCAAAGCTTTGTGTCCTTGTAGTAACTAGTTAAGACCGCGACATTGAAATAGTGGAAACATTCTAGTCTCCTGGTAGGTTGATATTGTAGACGTCATTCCACAACATATATTAATAGAATAAATATGGATCATTTTTCGGTTCATTTTGAGCTGGAGCTGCATATAGATGTATGTTTCCACAGTGTAACTTTCAAACCCATATGTTTGAAACCTACTTCTTCTACTTCTCATATTCAGCAGAATGTTGCTGATTAACAAGTATGTGAGGCGAAATCAACTATGGAATGAAATCTGTAGTAGACTACACAACTCTCACTAGCAACCATTTAAGAGAGTCATCTTCTTCACAGATAGGACCTAGATCCCATTGAAGAGTTTTTTTCACCATCAATTTCCTAATGCAAATTTCAAAGTTAGTTTTCATTCTTCTTTTTTGGACATTTGAGGATAGGTACTATACTGAATTGAATTTGACATCTGAATAACTCCTTGAAATCTTCCCAACGTGACACAAAAGAGTTCCATCTCTGATATGCGAGACCTCTCTCAGTAGGGGCAACTCAGGGATTAAGTCTATGAATCTGAAATGTCTGAATTTCTCTTATATGGGGTTGTTCTGTGTCTGATATCGGCTTCCCAAACTCATGACCTCTTTAGACTTCTAAGGCCAATCTTGTTGATGCTCTTCTCAACACTTGCAAAATGCTAGTTTGAGGCACCATAATCTCGTACTCCGCCTGAGTGCTCATTACATCAGATTCACTATCTTCTAAAACAACTGATGTTTCCTCAGCTGAAATCTCTATCTTAAGGCCAATTGGAATCGACGACGTCTGTTTCATGTTGGCTGAAAATTGAGAATCCTCTCTGATGTCTGCATCTTCTTCAGGATCACCGTTTATCTCTTCAACTGGAAGCCGATCATCTTGCTTTGTGTTCTCACCGTCTTCAGCTTCTATTGTGTCATTACCCAATTTTTTAGGAACATCTTGCTCCATGAAATAGATTACCCCCCTAGTTGTGTAATCTAATTTAAGATGCCCAAATTTGTGACACTTGCAACACTTTCTAACTGGGACAAATTTAGGGATGCAGATTGGTTCATCTGTTCTCCACTTTGACTTAGCTTTTCCTCTGGCAGGGCAGCTTGAATATTCTCCTGGGTGTAATTTGGCTATAAGACCATGAGGTTGAGCGCTGCCAGTAAGGCGGGGTGGTCACTCAATGATGTGGTCTTTCCACTTTTGAAGCTAGGGTCTGATTTTTCAGTGTGTAGTAAGCTGGCAAGAACCGACTTTGTATCTCCCGCTTCATCTTCAGATTCTCCTGTTCTCCATATGTGGCCTCCCTTTTCAGCCTCCTTTGATTCCATATTCCAAAGTGCATGGCCTTCCTTCTTCATCACTGAAATCTTAACTATGGATGGGATTCAGATCATCCTCTCTTGCTCCCCTTCGATTCTCCAGATCCCGATCGAGGCTAATCTCCCCGCCCCCCGGTTTCATCCTCAATATCCCGCAAGCCTCCATTGAAGTTGGCAAAACGAGAGTGATCTTTTCCTTGCGACGGGCCGACCCATTGAACATTGGGATTCATCTCACGTGGAGCTCGTGGCTATATTCTCTATTTGTCACTATATAGAGTAGTGAATGCTTGAAGTCAACGAAATTGTTATTGAAAGCGACGACATAAATATTATCTCCTCGCTTGAACAAGCTAAAGATGCCAATGCTTGGAAGATACAACTGGAAGGCTTGGTGGGCTTCTCCTTTTTGCTTCTTTCAAACAAGTTTTATTTCAACACATGGATAGAACGAAAAATATAATTACTCATACTTGTGCACAAAATGCCATGCATGTTAGCTTTTTTGTTAGGAATGTGGATAGCTCACATTTCTTTTTTCCTATCTTTTATGACCGTGCCCATGTTTTGATGGGCTAGGCCCCTTTTGTACTTTTTGTAACCTTTTGATACACTAATGCAATATGCACATTTCAATGGTATGCTCGAGGATGTATCTCCTTGGTGACATGGTTAGGTTTTAGAGTTGGAAGGTGAAAGAGGGCGTAGGGAGACTCATTGAATGTTTAGGAAAACTAATTTTGGGTCGCTGAGTTTGAAAATTAAAAAAGGAAAATTAGGGTTAGTCAAAATTTGGATAAGGTTTGGGAATAGGAAATAAAAATTTTGGTGGAGATGACTTGGTAGAGGCGGATGCTAGGAAGTCCTATAATAGAACAAGGGTTATGTTAGCTCTTAATATCAAATGATACCAGAGTTAACCTAAACCATAATAGAAATAGAAATATTATTGTTGAATTCAAATAGGGTTACAACGACGACTCTTCAAACAAGAAATAAATGACAACAAACATAAAACGACATAAGAAAACACCCCTAAAGTGTACTCCAGAGTGGTGAAGGTCGGCTAGGTGGATTAGGATCGTTGGCAGGTGTGGTGGCAACGAGGGGGAAGTTCAGAAATGTAGGAACAACAAGTATGGAGGCTGTCTTGGGTGATGGTAGTGAGGAGTGGGGGGGGGGGGGGGAGGAAGTGGGGGAGGGAGGTAGGGAAAATAGAGAGATGAAAGAAAGAGTGATAGAGGAAGAGTGAGAGAGATAGAGGGAGAGAAAGAGAGATGGAAAGAGAAAGAGAGGGAGAGAAGGAGAGAGAGTGTTAGAGAATTGAGAGAGAGTGAGAGAGATTGAGGGAGAGCAAAAGTGGGAGGGAGAGAGGTTGCTGTTTTCGGCGGCTGCAGCAAGTTACTACATTAGTGAATGATATAGGAGGATATGGAAAGGAAATTAAGGAAGATAATCACCACCTTGGGAGAGATACAACCGGAGCACCACCTAATCCCTCAAATATAACATTTGAAGGGGAAACAAACACTGAAAGCTGCCCTGACAGAAATATGAAAGAAAGAAATAATAATTTGAATC